TTAACTCTGACTGAAGGAATAGGGAAGGGCTTCATAAGTGGACTGTTGTGCTGTAGTGAGCAGGAGGAGCCCTCAACATGGGTCAAGCCCTGGCCCTGGCTTTACTGCCTACTTGGTGTGTGAACTTGGTCAAGTCATTTCGTCATCTACAAAGCCAAGGGTGCAAATCAGATGATTTCTACAGATGATTTTCACTTTTAATATTCTTTAATCAATTATTTGGGATGGGCTTTGTAGGATGCATAATTTAAAATTGAGGAAGGAAAGGACTTCTCTGGAAGGTCANTAGGCTTATTCAGAATTCTGTGTATAAGTTTGGTAAATTATCTTTCATGGAATCTGTTTCACCTAGACTGTCAAATTTACTGGCATAGGTTGTTCCTAACATTTTGTTACTATCCTTTTAATGTCTGAATGATCTGTAGTGATGTTTCCTCGTTTATGTAGATAATTTGTTTTTGGTCTCTCTTTAAATACAGGTTTTGATAGCAATTGGTCGTGACTCCTGTACAAGGAAACTAGGCTTGGAGAAGATTGGTGTCAAAATCAATGAGAAGTAAGTGTATGTGGGATCATCGCACTGTTGATGCACAAAGCAAAGTTTTGTGCAGATTATTGCTTAGAAATTCTCATTTAATTTAAATTTATCTTACCATAAGTACTGTGCTAGCTCTGTATTATCAATTTCTTCATTATTTAATCAGTAACTCTTATTGTGTGCCTTAAAGAGCTCATGCATTCAATAGTGTAAGTTAGACTGAATTTCTGTGTACTTGGTCCAGCAAGGAGAAAAACTCCAAAACTCCAAAGCTCTGAGTGTGACTGTCAGGGAAGCCTGGAGAAATCCCAGGTACCCAAGAAGCATACATGGTCTTTGCAGACAGATGTTCTCCTCTGGAGCAACTTAAGCCTTTGCTATATTAAGCCATTGATCTCATGGATAATCGATAACTTGAGGTGACAAGTTCCTAGAGGGAGGTCTCTTCTCTCTGTGTGTAGTCTTTTGGAGGAGTGTTAAGTCTTCCAGTAGTACAGAGTTAGTCACAATATATTTCTTTTCCTCTTCAAAAACTAATAGGAGTGGCAAAATACCAGTAAATGATGTGGAACAGACCAGTGTGCCCTATGTCTATGCTGTTGGGGATGTTTTGGAGGGTAAACCAGAGCTCACTCCTGTAGCTATACAGGCAGGCCGGCTGCTAGCTCGAAGACTTTTTGGAGGCTCTTTAGAAAAGGTAAGTTTTGCACTGTTGTTTTTGAGATAATTTCTTGATCAAAATCATGATTTAAAAAATCAATACAAATAACACTTGTGTGCAATTTTCCAAGTAAAGTTTTCCTCAGAGATATAATTTGAAGTTGACTTACTA